TGACAAAATATTAGACATATCTGAAACCTCTGGTAAAAGAAAGAATATTACAAAAATACGAAGCGTAAGAAGCCAGCATATCTGAAACCCTTCATTATTAAACATTCAGAACACTGTCTTAATAGAAGTCTAAAATGAATCAGAATAGCAGGGCAAAACTTGCTTAGTTATATACTCCGAGAATATTTGCCATATAAAAGAAAAAAACCCACAACACTTATTGTCACTATGTGCTGAATTTTGAATTTATTTGTTGATTCTTTGCCATCATTGAAGTGCGGGCAGGTATTGGGCTTTTAGAAATAATTTTCCTAGTTTTTTTTTTACTTTAGTTTATTACCTTTATTGTAGTTTACGGATAAAGTTTTGAACATGTTGTTATTCTCATCATCCTTATCTCTGAGATACCTCTCTCCTTTACCGTTATCCCCAAAGTGGTCTCTTCACAGCAAGAAATTTCCACCTGTTCTTCAAGTTAAAATTGAATTTCCCATTTTCATTTTGTTAGACTCAGATCACTCTGCGTGAATAAGTTAATGTTTGAAGCCATTTCTGCCCTTTGCCCTCCTCTTTTGAGAGAAGAGTGTTGTACTTGGAACCTGTCCAAGGTGTACCCCGACTCTCACCCAATCACAGCAGGGTTTGGGGCAAGCAAGAGAGGTTGAAGCCTATCCCTATCCAGGGATAGTTCAACGTTGTCAGATTAAACTGCATTTTTATCGTTATTCAACACAAGATTTTCCATTTTCTTAGTTCTGATGTGATGAACTCATGAAGTTTGATAACAAAATATGCAAAACACACTCTCATATCATTTAATTTATAAAGCATTGATGGTTGAAATATGAGCAAGGAATCTTTCAGTTTCTATGATGATTTTAGGTCGGCTGCATTAGCTTCAGAAAAAGTGGACTTGGTGCACATAGAGGATTCAAAATGATGATTTATAACATCAGTGTTATATTGATGATTAATTTATGATTCCTTGTTGTTAAAGTTGTTTTTTGTTTTTGTTTTTTTCAGCCCTGTAGTTACTCCTCTCAACGTGGACATATTTAGCTTAAGAAAATAGGGAAAAAGACTGAACATTGCTGCAGTATTTTAAGTATTTAAGTATTTTAGCTTTAACTCATGCCAAGGAGCAAGAGCCTCTGAAATGCTACAACAATAACCAATGTTGACCATCCATAAGTTTAGTCAAACTTTAGTCCAAATTTGTCGGTTATTGTTTTTAAGTGAATTCATTTGAATTATTTGAATTAATTCAGAATGGAAAATAAATCATTTCTAAAACCACCTTTAGACAATAGAATTAAACCCATTCCTAAATATTGCCTCTGACTTCATCCTGAACCAGTTAGTGGTAAATCGTAACTGTTTTCTAAGCTTGTATTAAGACAGTGTTCATTGTCACTGGTAGATGAGTTTTTTTTTTCTTTTTCTAATTTGCAAAACTGGCTTTTTACCAGATTCCTATAATAAATTCCTGCTTTCTAAACACTCATGCTGGGTATCTTCCACACAAACTGGCATCCTTCTCTGTATCGATATACATTAAGTTAATATATTATCATATAACATCATCAGTGCTAAGTTAGACCATTAATCTGCTTCAATATTACATCACAGGTTGGTCAAATGCCTTTGAATAGCACAACCTGCTGACTAATCAGCATCACTTTTTGTCATTCAGACGTCTGATGCAATCCTGTGAGAACAAAGCATCCGTCTCTCCGTGAGGTGACGCTCACACTTCCCAAAGACCCCAGAGATCAGTGTCCCCTGATCTTTCAGCACATCTCAATACGCACACACAACAAACAAACACACACATTGTCTAAAAGTGATAACATTTTGGCACCTCACAGGTATATATGTTGTGCTTTAAGTCTGTATTTTCCAGGTGAGTCATACAGATATGCAGAGCATATGCAAGGAAACATGCTTTAGGGGGAGAAACAAAAAAGAGAATTGGACATTTGCTCCTTTTGCATAGTGTTGGGAAATCTCAACACATATGTTTAAATGGAAAACACTGGAAATTGTGGGTGTGTTTACAAAATCTCCTCAGTTATTAGAAAAAGTGTTTCTGACTTTAATTTGAGTCCATTATAAGAGGCTACTGAGTCACAGCTCATATTAAATACAACTGTGAGGAGACAGGATGTTGGGATGGAATTCATTCTCTCTTCTATCACTTATCTTCTTAGGATCTAATTGACCAAACAAAGACATGAGAGGTTTCCTCTCAGCTGATAAAACATACAAAAAGAAGAAGGAACAGAAAGCCCGGTTACTCCTTGCCCTGATTCTTCGACTGGCAGCAGACGTAGTGACAGTTACAAGACAGATGAAGACAAAACAGTGTGACAAATTCATCGCAATCACACAGAGAGAGCAACAAAAACAAAGTTGCAACACACTGTATGATCTATAGGCAATGAACCACAAACGCTTGTTTTAAAATCGTCCATTTTTGGTGTTGCTCCAACTCTTTTTTTCTAACGGATGCATGAGAAGAGACGTCTCGTGGAGCAGCGTGAGAGGGGAGTACTGGCATTCAGCCTTACATTATGTGAGACCACTCTAAAAAAAAAAAAGAGAGACAAGGAGTCGTCGTTTGCAGGGTCAAGTCCAGTAGAGGAAAAGAGGTTAATACACAGTTTGTGGTGCAGTAGATGTACGTAAATCGGGCTGCCACTACGTCTCGCATAGCCGAGGGATCAGGGAAGGATCGCGATTCATTTGGCTTTGATTTCTGAATAGTTGCTGCCATCATCCCCCCTCCCTGAGGCCCCATCCCTGGGCCTGGTCCCGATAAACTCCAGAGCAGCGTAATTCAGCTCGTGCCTCTCCAGTCCTGCCAAAGGGCCCACAGGTTGGTAATCCCCGTCTTCTCCCTGCAGACAGAGGGAACGTTCAGCAGTCGGAAATCAGCGCAAAGGTGCCGGCAATGGGTCGACGGACACCATTAAGAAAATCTGTTAGTGGTTACTGGCTGACATACTGACACGAAGACTGAAATGTTTTCTGTTAGTCTGGCAGGTTGTGTTAGCAATGAGGCAGGCATGCTGAAGGCAGTTTTGGGGAAAAAAAATGGCACTGAACAGAACACAGAAGCGGATATGCGAGAGGAGATGCGTCTGTCACTGAGGCTGGTGTTTTTAATGGGGTTTGTTTGGTAACCTTACCGTAGTCTCCTCTAGAATGGAGTTAAACTTTGAGCCCAACAGCTCTGTCTTAAGCTGTGCAAGAGTTAGGGGAGAGAAAAACAGACAGAAAAACGCAGAGAAGCGATGAAAGCAAGAGAAAAACAGTGTTTGGAAAGGTCATGGTTGAAGCTATGAGACTGCAAAGTGGGAGATACTTCTTCTGTGACCTCATTCCAGAGGTTTAAATGGGGTCTTCACCATCAACGACTGTACAAAACTATAACCCCAAACAATCTGAGAATGGTCATCCAACCCATCCTCCATCATATCATTATCATTGACATCAGCGTGTCTCACCACTTTCTTCCTCAGATTTTGTTTGTCCTTCTTGACTGCGCTGTAGTACAAAGCTGGGTTCTCCAGGACCACGTCCTGCCTAGGGTTGCCATTCTCTCTGGGGGACGGAGTCACATGATCAGACTCGGTCTCGACTGCCACTAACGCAGGGCGACACGCCAAGCCTGGGCATCCATTTTAAAACAACAAGCTCTGTAAAGTTATGCTGTTGGCCATCTGTGGCTGTGAGTGACGTGGTTATTTTCATGGGTTTAGTCGCCGAGGATCACATCTACTTCAGGGCTGTTCTTCAGAGAAAGCTTGGGAATTTAAGGGTCCAAATAAGCCTTGAGGCTGAAAAAAGCACCTTGGTTAAAGGGGCTACCTGGGTTGTATTTAGCATAGCAGGTCAAGGATACAGAAGCGGTGTCAAAGCAGGGAATCATGCCTGCAAAGTATAAGGTTAGTCCAGCTTGCTAACCCACTCCACAAGGCAGCCAATGTTGATCTCCAAGGACTCCCACTGGGTCTTGTCATGGCAAATAAACTGAAACTGCTCGGGAAAATTATTCTCGTGCTCACATCAATCCCACATTCACTCATTTACAATATGCATCAGTGTGTTTTAGAATGGATGACTAGGCTTAAGTGTTTCCTTGGATTTCAGAAAATGCTTCGAGGGTAAAACGACGACCTCTGCCTCACATTGGCCTCTTCATTAGTCTGTCTTTTATACTCACTTCTTGTTGTTGTGGCCCACGTATCTCACAGCAGCAATGATGAAGGCTATGACTGCAACTCCACCAATGGTTCCCACTATAACTGCCATCATGTACTTTTCTGGAAACAG